ATCTCTACTAAAAATACACACACAAAAAAATTAGCCGGGTATGGTGGCGTAAGCCTGTAGCTTTAGCTACTTGGGAGGCTGAGGCAGGAGAATTGCTTGAGCCCAGGAGGCAGAGGTTGCAATAAGCCAAGATCAAGAAACTGCACTCCATCCTGGGTAACAGAGCAAGATTTTGTCTCAATTAAATAAAAAAAAATGCGGCCAGATGCAGTGGCTCACGCCTGTAATCCCAGCACTTTGGGAGGCCGCGGCGGGTGGATTATGAAGTCAGGAGTTCAAGAACAGCCTGGCCAACATGGTTAAACCCTGTCTCTTCTAAAAAATACAAAAATTAGGCCAGGTGCGGTGGCTCACACCTACAATCCCAGCACTTTGGGAGGCCGAAGAGGGTGGATCATGAGGTCAAGAGATCGAGACCATCCTGGTCAACAAGGTGAAACCCCGTCTCTACTAAAAATACAAAAATTAGCTGGGCATAGTGGTGCGTGCCTGTAGTCCCAGCTACTCGGGAGGCTGAGGCAGGAGAATTGCTTGAACCCAGAAGGTGGAGGTTGCGGTTAGCTGAGGTCGTGCCATTGCACTCCAGTCTGGGTAACAACAGTGAAACTCCATCTCAAAAAAAAAAAAACAAAAATCAAAAATTAGCTGGGCATGGTGGTGCGCACCTGTAGTCCCAGCTACTCAGGAAGCTGAGGCAGGAGAACTGCTTGAACCCAGGAGGTGGAGACTGCACTGAGCCAAGATTGCACCACTGCACTCCAGCCTGGCGCCTGGCGACAGAGCAAGACTCTATCTCAAAAACAAAAAAATGCGATGCAAGCAAACGTGAAGCCAAAGTATGATTTTAATAATATATTTGAAATGGTTTCACTAAAGTAGTAGTCTAAATCAAGGGCAATAATGACAATTTCTTGAGGCATTCCTGATTGTTACAACCTGCAGAGATAGTGTTATGGGTATCTAATGGATAAAGGCTGGGGATGTTGCTAAACATCCTACAATATACAACAGAGCCCCCACAATAATTATCTGGCCCAAAGTGTCAAAAGTACCAAAGCTGAGAAACCTTTCTCTAGAGCCATACTGTGCCAAATACTTAGGGTCAATTTCAAACACAAAGAATGCACCAAGTTCTCAGGAAATGTTTTACCTACTTTGCCTCTAAAACTTATTGTTTGTTTTTTTTTTTTTTTTTGAGATGGAGTTTCACTCTTGTTACCCAGGCTGGAGTGCAATGGAGTGATCTCGGCTCACCGCAACCTCCGCCTCCTGGGTTCAGGCAATTCTCCTGCCTCAACCTCCTGAGTGGCTGGGATTACAGGCACACGCCACCATACTCAGCTATTTTGTATTTTTTTTTTAGTAGAGACGGGGTTTCACCATGTTGACCAGGATGGTCTCGATCTCTTGACCTCGTGATCCACCCACCTCGGCCTCCCAAAGTGCTGGGATTACAGGCTTGAGCCACCGCGCCCAGCCTGTTTCATTTTTTTCTTTGAGACACGGTCTCACTCAGTTGTCCGGGCTGGAATGCACTGGTACAATCATGGCACTGCAGTCTCAATTTCCCAGGCTCTGGTGATTCTCTGATCTCAGCCTCCTGAGTAGCTGGGAGTACAGGTGCACACCACCATGCCTGGCTAATGTTTGTATTTTTTGTAGAGACAGGGTTTCCCTTTGTTGCCCAGGCTAGTCTTGAATTTCTGGGCTCAAGCAATCCACCTGCTTTAAGCTTCCAAAGTGGTGGTATTACAGGAGTGAGTCACCATGCTTGGCCAATACTTATCATTACATCTCTGAATTTCTCAGTCCCCTAACTGTTCAATAAATTGCACAACTTCATATAGTCTCTTTGTTGGAAATTAAACATTAGGACCATCATCCTTTACTTTCTAGGTTAACTATCACCACATAAATCATATTACAAAAAAACTGGCTAATTTTTTCAAAGCTGTAAATTTGGTTCCCTAAAAATTCTACTTGCTCTTATTTATCTAAGATGTAGCAGACATAAAGTCAGGTACTGGCTGATCACAGTGGCTCCTGCCTGTAATCCCAACACTTTGGGAGGCTGAGGTGGGTGGATGGCTTGAGCCCAGGAGTTCAAGACTAGCCTGGGCAACATAGCAAAACCCCGTCTCTACCCCCCAAAAAATAAAAAATAAAAAATAAAAAAATTAGCTGTGTATGGCAGTGCACACCTGTGGTCCCAGCTACTTTGGAGGCTGAGGTGGGAGGACTGCTTGAGCCCAGGAGGTCAAGGCTGCTGTGAACCGAAAGACTGTACCACTGCACTCCAGCCTGGGTGACAGAGTGAGACCCTATCTCATTAAATAAAGTCAGGTACCAAAGTATCACATAACCTAGAAACAGCAGACTAACACATAACATATAAACAGATTTCTTTATTGACTACTGTTAGGTATAACTCCTCCATATTTGTCTATTCATTCAATAAGTCTAAACACACTTATTGAGGGCCTACTATGTGGCAGGCAATTGGACTACAAAGACAAAAATATTTTACCAGACTAATAAAAACACAGCTAAAATAGAAATGATAGGTGCTATAAATAGAAGTATCAAATAGGTGTTATGGAAGCTTGCAGAGGAGAGAATGCCAAGAAAAGCTTCCCAGAAGACGCTTGAACTGAGAAAATGTCACAGAAAACATACCCTGTTCATGCTTTACTGTTCTCCCTGCACTACTGGTTTTGAGTTTATGCTTTGTCATCTAAATAAGAGCAAAGTGACAACCTTACTGATGTGAACAGACCAAAGTGTCAACTAATTCAATTTCATCAAATCTGAGAAGTCAAAACCAGTAATTTTACCCAAGTATTTCCCAGTACCTTTTTTGTTTTCTTTTTTGAGACGGAGTCTGGTCTGTCGCCCGGGCTGGAGTGCAGTGGCATGATCTTGGGTCCCTGCAACCTCCACCTCCTAGGTTCAAGTGATTCTCCTGCCTCAGCCTCCCGAGTAGCTAGGATTACAGGCATGCGCCACCACACTGGGCTAATTTTTGTATTTTTAGTAGAGATGGGGTTTCACCATGTTAGTCAGGCAGGTCTGGAACTCCTGGCCTCGTGATCAGACCACCTCAGCCACCCAACGTGCTGGGTTTACAGGCATGAGCCACTGCACCCAGCCTTCCCAGTACCTTTATCCTGTTCAATCTCTAGTTTTGGTTTTTAAATACTCTAACTTCCTCCACCAGGTAAACATTCTGTAACCCAGTTAACTAACTAGAGCTTCTTCCTGAATTTATAAGACTGTCACAGGGAATAATCACTGCTCTTTCCCTTTCTCCCTTCCTCCCTCCCTCCCTCCCTCCCTTCCTCTCTCTTTCTGATAGCTTCTTCCTCCAAAATGGAGTTTTGTTTTCTCACCTCATTCTACTATAATACTCCACTATGAATTCTGTACCTGAATGGAGCCATGAGGTACTATAAACGGACTCCTGCTTAGCTTTCTAAGTCCTGTCAGTATTTTCTGCTTTCTATTCCAGTACTGTTAAAAATCACTGACTGCGAGTCCTCAGCAGCTGGCACAAATCAAAAAATTCACATTTAGAAAGGCCAACAATGGCTTGTAGTTTTATCGATTTGTTTCCAATAAATAACATCACTGACATTCTTTAACCATCTTCTAAGTTTAGTTGTTGAGGTCTAGGTTAACGAAGCTTCCACCTTCCGTAAACAGAGCTGGTAGCAACTAAATGGAAAACGCTATGAAGATTCCATCTACGTCCAGCTACCTAATATGCATCCGCACCGACTTCCTAAAGGTAATTCTTAATAATGGGAGGCTGAAACATCTAAGTAAAAAAATTTTTAGACTGTCAGAGATCTGGCATTGGCTAATCCTGCCTGTTACTACGGACCTCAGTTTCCCCATCGACAGAAATGCGATGTAAGGTAGGAAGATTGACTTAAACAATTTCTAAGTTCTTTATGGCTGCAGTAATCCAGAAACTCCATTTTTCTCCTCATCTGGCTTTACACGGAACACGTGGAAAAACAGAAAACCTTTTGCTCCACCGAACCGACTTCCATTCTCAGATATTAGTTTAAAAATCTAACAAACTTCAGACTCACCCTAATCCTCGAGGTGCCCATTTCCCTTAAGGAGAAGCCAAAGCAAATAAAGCCCATCCCCACATGACGGTCAAGGAAGTGCGGGGCAGCCCATATTCGGAGTCTCAAGGCGTAAAGGACGATTCCGTAAAGTCCAGCCCACCGTGGGGTCCTAACACCGCCGAACGAATGAATGACTACAACCAGACAGACGCCCACTCGCGTGGGCTCAAGTGGAGACCCCCAGGCCTAGATCCCACCGATGTCCATTCCCTCCCAGGGCCTCCAGAACCGGACCACCGAGACTCAGGGTCCTGGGCCCCGCCCCTCTCTCAGGCCTGAAGGTGTGCGCCGCGGCGAGAGACTTCGGCGCTGAGAGGCCCTGGGACGCCCCGCGCGTCCGTCCTCCAGGGAGGAGGAGCCTGCCGCTCTCGGCCGCGGCATCTCCGGCTCCCGACTTACCGCGGTTCTTTAGGAGAGGGGAAATGTCAGGAATCCGGGCCCGGTCCCGTCCGCCACCCGCCGCTAACGGAGCAGCGCGCGGCCCCCACGAAACCGTCACCGTCACCGTCACCGCCGCTACCACCACAGCTACCGACCACCGCTTCGGGCGCAGCGCGCAGAGGGCCCGAGTGCGTCACACGCCGCCCGGCGTCAGGGGCTCGCTGCAGGCGCTCCGCCCTCGCCGTCCACGAATTGGTGAACGTGGCCGCCACTCTGGGTCGGCCCTGTTATTCATTGGGCAACGCGTCTTTTGAAACCGAACGTGAGGGCGGTCTTCGGGGTGGAAGGGGCGAGAGGGAAGGGGAGGGACACAAGGAGTTAGGGGCGGTACAGGGGAGGAGCGGTAAGAGGGCCGTGGGGTCCCGCCCCCTCGCCGCTGCGGTTGATGGGAGTGAGTTGTGACGTCACACAGGGCCTCTCTAAGTGGGCTTGTGAATGGCTAGATTGGGAAGCACCGGCGGGATGTGGGGAAGAGTGGTGACGCAAAATAGAGACTCCGCCCCCTGCCTTGGAGCGCTGAGACTCAGGCTGCGGGAGCTCGGGCCAATGAGAGGGACGGCCCCAGAATGGCATGGTAACTATTCGACCCTTTACTTGCCCCGGTCCGCGGGCGCTGCTGGGAAGGCTTTCTCGTCTCTCTGCCCGCACTTCCTGGACAGACCACGTGCGGAGTTTGAGGACCCTTCCGGGAGGTCTGTCTGTCCAAGGAGTTTGCCTGAGGCTGCTTCAGGGGCCTAGATCCTTACCCTATTCTTTTCTGACCTATGCTTGCCCCAGCACATTCTTTCCCTCTCCGAATTTCTAGGACAGACATTAGGAGCAGTAGAGATGCCCTAAGGGAATGGCCCACCAAAGGGCCTAGTACAAATGAGGATTGTTGGAACGTCTTTCCCAGCTGCACGGGAGAACCTCCTACTTCTTTTTTTTTTTTTTTTTTCCTTTCGCGATGAAGTCTCGCTTTGTCTCCCAGGCTGGAGTGCAGTGGTGCCATCTCGGCTCACTGCAACCTGTGTCTCCCAGGTTCCAGCAATTCTCCAGCCTCAGCCTCACGAATAGTTGGGATTACAGGCACCCGCCAGGCCCAGTTAATTTTTGTATTTTTAGTAGAGACTGGATTTCACCATGTTGGTCAGGCTGGTCTCGAAGTCCTGACCTCAAGTGATCCACCTGCCTCGGTCTCCCAATGTGCTGGGATTATAGGCATGAGCCACGTTGTCCGGTGAACTATTCTTTTTTTGAAATGGGACCCAGCTAATTTTTGTATTTTTGGTAGATAGGGGGTTTCACCATATTGGTCAGGCTGGTCTCAAACTCCTGATTTCGGGTGATCCTCTTCCCACTCCCCCCACCTCTCGGCCTCCCACAGTGCTGGGATTTCAGGCATGAGCTACCGAACCCAGCCGAACTCTTAGGTATTCCTAAAGAATGAGTCTTCTCGGTACATCTGCCGAGCTTTCCCAGCGAGTGTTCCTAAAGAATGGGTCTGCTCGGTACATCTGCCGAGCTTTCCCAGCGAGTTGAACTAATGCTTGGGCAGGCCTCTGTTACAGCCTTGTCACGTTCTTGGAGTCTTCCTGGGGCCTAGCCCAGAGCAGAAGCCTAATATTACAAGAGTGAAAGGTAGGTGGGCATTTCCTAGAAACTAGACCTCTTTAGTGACAGAGCCTCATAGCAGGAGCTGTGCTTAGAAAACAAAGTGTATACTGGCTGGGCTGGTGGCTCACACCTGTAATCCCAGCACTTTGAGAGGTCGAGGAGGGCAAATCACTTGAGGCCAGGAGTTCGAGACCAGCCTGGCCAACAGGGTGAAACTTCATCTCTACTAAAAATAAAAAATTAGCCAGGCATGATGGTGGGCACTTATAATCCCAGCTACTCGGGTACTGAGGCACAAGAATCACTCGAACCCAGGAGGTGGAGGTTGCAGTGAGCAGAGATCCTGCCACTGGACTCCAGAGCAATCTCAAACAACAGCAACAACCTCCATCACCATCTGTTTGTGGAACATCAATGCAAAATTGAAATGGGCTTTACCCAACATGTAAACGAGTTTAAATCCCTCTGGGTTTAAGGTGATGGCAAGGGATTCAAGATAACATTTATTTGTTTGTTTAAAAAGTGGGAGTTTGGGAGTGGTAGCTCACACCTGTAATCCCAGCACTTGGGAGTCCAAGGTAGGAGGATCGCATGAACCCAGGAGTTTAAGAGCAGCTTGGGCAACATAGTGAGTCCCCACCAATACAAAAAATTAGCTAAGGCCAGATGCAGTGGCACACACCTCCCAGCTACTTGGAAGGCTGAGGTAGGAGTTTCGTTTGAGCCCAAGAGGTTAAACCTGCAGTGAGCTGTGACTATAGCCATTCCACTCCCCCCTGGGCAATAGGGGGACACCCAGTCTGGGGAAACAAAGGGGGGCATTGTTAAGATGGAATAAGATAGTGGGTGTAAGAAACATGGTACATTGTAGGTGCTCAGGAGATACTTGAAGGAAGAAAAAAAATCAATATATGGTTGGCCAAATAGAAAAGTTACTTTGAACATCTGACTGCAGCCACCTTCCCCCAACTCCTCCATTCAAAACACCCCTCCTTTACAACCACTCTCCCTTGCCTTTGCTGGACTTTAGAAAATCGTTAACTCACCCTGGATAGTTACAGTAGCTTCATCACTGCCCTCCAGAACCTTTGATTTCTTGTCCTTTAATCTTCAAACCCAGTTATTATTATTATTTTTTGAGATGGAGTTTCGCTCTTGTTACCCAGGCTGGAGTGCAATGGCACGATCTTGGCTCACCGCAACCTCCGCCTCCTGGGTTCAAGCAATTCTTCTGCCTCAGCCTCCCGAGTAGCTGGGATTACAGGCACGTGCCACCATGCCCAGCTAATTTTTGTATTTTTAGTAGAGACAGGGTTTCACCTTGTTGACCAGGATGGTCTCAGTCTCTTGACCTCATGATCCACCCTCCTCGGCCTCCCAAAGTGCTGGGATTATAGGCATGAGCCACTGCGCCCGGCCCAAACCCAATTATTTTTAAGACTCACCTCTACTGACTTACTTATTTTGGTACCTAAGGCAAGGTACACAGTAGGTGCACATTAGAAATTTGATGCATGAATGAGTGAATTATTTTCTTCAGTTGGGGAATAGTAGATGTGTTGTTGGACTTTGAATCAGCCACCTGGTTTAAATCTGGATGCAGATTTAATCTAATTCAATTGTTTTAATTTAATTAAGAAATTTGGGCACATTTCTGGCCAGGTGCAGTGGCCCACACCTATCCCAGCACTTTGGGAGATTGAGGCGGTTGGCTCACCTGAGGTCAGGAGTTCTAAACCAGCCTGAACAACGTGGTGAAACGCTGTCTCTACTAAAAATACAAAAAATTAGCCGGGTGTGGTGGTGCAAGCCTGTAATCCCAGCTATTTGGGAGGCTGAAGCAGGAGAATCTCTTGAACCTGGGAGGCAGAGGTTGCAGTGAGCTGAGATTGCACCGTTGCACTCCAGCCTGGGCAACAAGAGTGAAACTCTGTCTCAAAAAAAGAAAAAAAGAAAAGGCAAATTTCCTAACCCCTCTGAACCTCAATTTTCTTTTATATAGAATGGGGATAACAACCGTATTTGCCTCACAGGGTTGTAGTGAGAATTAAATGAGAGAATACATGTAAACCACTTAGCATAATACCAGGAACACATAAGGCCTCAATAAATGATATTGTCTGCATTATTTAAAAATGTTGCCAGGGGCCAGGCGCGGTGGCTTACACCTGTAATCCCAGCACTTTGGGAAGCCGAGGCAGGTGGATGACAAGGTCAGGAGTTTGAGGCCAGCCTGGCCAATATGGTGAAACCCCATCTGTACTAAAACTACAAAAATTAGCTGGGTGCGGTGGCAGGTGCCTGTAGTCCTAGCTACTTGGGAGGCTGAGGCAGAAGGATCCCTTGAACCTGGGAGGCCGAGGTTGCAATGAGCCGAGATCATACTACTGCACTCCAGCCTGGGCAACAGAGCAGGAATCTGTCTCAAAAAAAAAAAAAATGTTGCCAGGTACGGTGGCCGAGCCCTGTAATCCCAGCACTTTGGGAGGCTGAGATGGGCAGATCACCAGAGATCAGGAGTTCAAGAGCAGCCTGGCCAACATGGCAAAACCCATCTTTACGAAAAATACAAAAATTAGCCAGGTGTAGTGGCACGCACTTGTAATCCCAGCTACTAGGGAGGCTGAGGCAGGAGATTTACTTGAACCCAGGAGGTGGAGGTTGCAGTAAGCCGCGATAGCGCCACGGCACTCCAGCCTCACCCTGGGTGACAGAGGGAGACTCTGTCTCAAAATAAATAAATAAAAATAAAAGTTGCCGGATGCGGTGGCGTGTACCTGTAGTCCCAGCTACTCAGAAGGCTGAGGTGGGAGGATTGCTTGAGCCCAGGAGTTCTGGGCTGTACTGCGATATGCTGATCTGGTGTCTGCACTAAGTTCGGCAACAATATGGAGACCTCCCAGGAGTGGGGGACCACCAGGTTGCCTAAGGAGGGGTGAACCCACCCAGGTCAGAAATGGAGCAGGTCAAAAATCCCATGCTGATCAGTAGTAGTGGGATTGCCTACTAGTGTTAGTGGCCTGTGAATAGCCACTGCACTCCAACCTGGGCAGCATAGCGAGACCCTGTCTCTTAAAAAAATAACAAATGTTGAGTTCCTATTTTCCCATTATGAATATTCTAAGACATGGATTCTGACACTGAAAGAGGACTCAGAAATGTCTTTTTTTCTTTTATTTCTTTTCTTCTTTTTTTTTTTTGCTATAAAATGGTTCTGAAAGAAATGTTTTGAATGAGTGAGCAAGTGAGTACATTCAGTCCAAAGTACAAGTAGGTGTGCGGGAAAATAGTGCATACTTGTGGAAAGACTGGAGGAATAAGTACTGGATGAGGAATGCTTCAGGGAAGAATTTCCTGTGACTCTGGTGATTTCTTTTTTTTTTTTTTTTTTGAGATGGAGTCTCATTCCGTTGCCCAGGCTGGAGTGCAGTGGCATGATCTCTCAGCTCATTGCCACCTCTGCCTCCCAGGTTCAGGCAATTCTCCTGCCTCAGCCTCCTGAGTAGCTGAGACTACAGGTGCATGCTACCACACTCAGCTAATTTTTTGTAGTTTTAGTAGAGATGGGGTTTCATTGTGTTGGCCAGGCTGGTCTCAAACTCCTGAGCTCAGGTGATCTACCTGCCTTGGCCTCCCAAAGTGTTGGGATTACAGGTGTGAGCCACCGCGCCTGGAGACTTTGGTGATTTCTAAAGATATGTTGCTGGGTACTTTGGTAGGCAAGTGGCCCATGGCTCATCATTCCCAGGATTCTTGGCTGGGGAAGGACATCTTTGTGAAGCTCCGGGTTCCTTCCCACCCACTCCTACTTTGTCTAAATTGTGATGACATCCCTTTGGGTTATCATCATCTTTCTTCTTCCATTCTAAAGTCAAGGAGTTCAGTGCATGCTTACAAACCCTTTTGGAGCCAAGCCTTGTCCTGGACATCATGAGCCCAGAGATGTCCACAGCTCAACACTATCCTGGCCAAGAAAGACAGAGCTAACGAAAGTCCAGCTTTGTCCTAGGAGCCCCAGGACACATGACCTGAGAACTCACTGTATGCAGCTGTGAAGGACTGCTTAAGGGGGAGACAGACCTGTAAGGACTACAGAATCATGGAAGGATGAGACTTCCTTCCAGAGGAGCAGCAGTTGGAGTCAGAGCTAAGTTCAAGTTGTAGATCTGCTACTTTTTATAACTTGCTTAAGTTATTTAACTCCTTGTCTTGCCCCAATTCCTTGTCTATGACATGGGCACAATACTTTATATTTTGTTTTGTTTTGTTTTTTCGAGATGTCTCACTCTGTCACCCAGGCTGGCGTGCAGTGGTGCAGTCTTGGCTCACTGCAATCTCTGCCTCCCAGGTTCAAGCAATTCTCCTTCCTCAGCCTCCCAAGTAGCTGGGATTACAGGTTTCTGCCACCATGCCTGACTAATTTTTGTGTTTTTAGTAGAGATGGGTTTTCACCATGTTGGCCGGGCTGGTCTTGAACTCCTGACATTAATTAAGTGATCTGTCTGCCTCAGCCTCCTAAAGTGCTGGGATTACAGATGTGAGCCACCACTTCCAGCCAATACTTAGTATTTTGTAAAGTGGTTGCGAAGATCAAAAAGGTAATGGAATTTGCAAAGGACTAGGCACAGGATTGGCCCATAGTAACACTTAGTAAATGTTGATTCCCTTCTTTTCCTGTGACTTGGTAAGAAAGGGTGAGGTTTGTAAATCCATTTAATTGGATTTTTAGAATTCCTGTAGGAATATCTTTGGCTTTTAACAAGAGCATTTAGTCTAATGCATTTAATGAATTTACTGGTATATTCAGATTTTTTTTTTTTTTTTGAGATGGAGTCTCACTCTGTTGCCCTGGCTAGAGTGCAGTGGCGTGATCTCTACTCACTGCAGCTTCTGCCTCCTGTGTTCAAGCAATTCTCATGCCTTGGCCTTCCTAGTAGCTGGGACTACAGACGTGCCACCACACCTGGCTAACTTTTGTATTTTTAGTAGAGACAAGGTTTTATCATGTTGGCCAGGCTGGTCTCAAACTCCAGACCTCAGGTGATCCACCCACCTCAGCCTCTCGAAGTTCTGGGATTACAGCCGTGAGCCACTTCACCCAGCCCATTTTTCCTACTATACCACTTTGAAAGTTAAATTCTCTTTTTCTATTAGTATTATTTTAGTGATCTCCCTAGCAATTATCATGTGCATCTTTTTTTCTTTTTTTTGAGACCAGAGTCTTGCTCTGTTGCCCAGGCTGGAGTGTAGTGGTGCCATCTCGGCTCACTGTAACCTCCACCACCTCCTGGGTTCAAGCGATTCGCCTGCCTCAGCCTCCCTAGCAGCTCAGACTACAGGCGCCCACCACCACGCCCAGCTAATTTTTGTATTTTTTAGTATAGACGAGGTTTCACCATGTTGGCCAGGCTGATCTCGAACTCCTGACCTTGTGATCTGCCCACTTTGGCCTCCCAAAGTGCTGGGATTACAGGATAAGCCACCGTGCCCAGCCAGACACATGCATTCTTAACTTACCAAAGTGTCATGCTAATAAATACCTTTACAGGAAGGATAGTTTCCTGAGATGGAGACAGGAAGAGAGAACATTCCAGGCTAGATGAACGGAGAAACAAGCAGATGAACAGGGGAAGATTTAATTGCTATTTGAGTTAGAGTGGTGCTAGAGCAAGATGAGTGAGCTGGGGGTGGGTGGTTTAAAACCATCCAGGAAGGATGTCTTGGTCATGAAAAAGATCTTTGAAAAGAAAAAGAATAACTCCTCCTCAACCCAGGAAAAGCAGTGATTTTCCTGAAGCTTCCCAGGAGGCAGTGGCAGAGTTTGGTCTGAAGCTGGATGTCTTTAGCAGTCTGTGTCCCTGCCTCTATACCTACCCTAGCCATGCTCACTCTGTCCCCTTTCTAGGAATTCGTCAATCTCGCTTACCTGTCTAAATACTGCCCATTCTTCAAAACCTAGTTCCATTAAATCAATCCAACATATATTTTCTTTTTATTTTTGTATTTCATATTTTTATTTTATTATTATTATTTTTGAGATGGAGTCTTGCTCTGTCACCCAGCTGGCGTGTAGTGGTGCAATCTCGGCTCACTGTAACTCTACTGCCTAGGTTCAAGCAATTACCTTCTCTCAGCCTCCCGAATAGCTGGGACTACAGAATTAAAGAATTAGTCTAAATAATTAGAGCACCTCAAGGTTTGGGCATTGGGGATGGTCTAGAGGCAGGGAGGGGGATCCAGCCTTAGGGAATGGTACTTAAGGCCAAGAGAACAGACAAGGTGTTAAGATAGGGAACAATGGCCAGGAGCAGACACCCCTGGTTTGGGGCTAGATGAAGAGGATGACATGAAGCCGCAAAGCAGAAAACCTGAATCTAGTTGCCCAAATTAGAGGAAAGTGGTTCTTTTTGCAAAGTTTTACTGATCCATTTGCCCTGGACCTTAAAGAGCAGGATAGGGGAGAATTCAAAATCAAGAAAAATCATTTTTAGAATAAGACACACACTGAGTACACACTCTCTCCAGACTTCAGAGCCCCTCAGAGTGCAACTGAGGTATCTCTGGGTCCTCCATCATTGCTTCACCTGAGGCCTGTCACAGAGAGGGCCTAGGCTGGGTGAATGAACAAAAGTGAATGCATGAAAAAGAGCTCTGGCAAATTAATCAACAAATACTAGGCCAGGCACAGTGGCTCAAGCCTGTAATCCCAGCACTTTGGGAGGCCGAGGCGGGTGGATCCCGAGGTCAAAAGATTGAGACCATCCTGGTCAACATGGTGAAACCCCGTCTCTACTAAAAATACAAAAAATTAGCTGGGCATGGTGGCGCGTGCCTGTAATCCCAGCTACTCAGGAGGCTGAGGCAGGAGAATTGCCTGAACTCAGGAGGTGGAGGTTGCAGTGAGCTGAGATTGCGCCATTGCACTCCAGCCTGGGTAACAAGAGCGAAACTCCGTCTCAAAAAAAAACCAACAAATACTAAGTGGCATTAACAGCATATAGTGGATTATGGGAATTATTTCAGGAATGAGACTTGAGTCCTGGTTCTGACGTTTATTATCTGTGTAAGTAGGTAACTTGGTTTCCCTGTTTTCCATTGGTAAAATGAGGATATTAGTAGTATCTACTGGTGGGTGCAGTGGCTCATGCCTGTAATTCTAGCACTTTGGGAGGCTGGGGTGGGTGGATCACTGAATTCAAGACCAGCCTGACCAATATGGTTAAACCCTGTTTGTACTACAAATACAAAAATTATCTGGGCATGGTGGCATGCACCTGTAGTCCCAGCTACTCAGGAGACTGAGACAGGAGAATTGCTTGAACCTGGGAGGCCGAGGTTGCAGTGAGCCGAGATCACAGCATTGCACTCCAGCGTGGGTGACAGAGCAAGACTATGTCTCAATCCATCAATGAAATAAACTAACATAAAAGTACCTCACAGGGTTTTATGAGGATGAAATAATGAGATAACATGAAAAGTAACAGTGCCTGGGACATACTGGGTGCTGAGAATATGTTATTGCTGTGAGGATTAAAGTGGGAAAGTGCTATGGTAGCTATGGCTAGCTTAGAGGCTCTCCACCTGTTGCAGGTGCTCCGACAACCCCACAGTGTGCCTGCAGAAGGGATTCTTGGTCCCTTCGCCTTCCTTCCCTGTTGGGGTAGGATTGTCTTTGCAAAGGGAACCAGGGGTCCCCCTCTAGTTGTTTTATGAGTCAGTCAGGGTCAGGGTACAGAGGGAACTCTGGCAGCTGGTTTTTGGAGATCGATCCTCTCATAGTGGGGAGACCCAAGGCTGGTGGCTGGAGATCCTCTTTCTGCCTTATGTGGAACAGACAGGGCGCCCTCTCTTGATCAAAGGTGGGAACAGCACTAGGTCAGAGTTTCTGGGATGGGCCCCATCGGGTCTCACTGCCTGCAAAGGTGCTGCTCTTCCCATTGCTGAAATGTCCCCAACCGTCCTGGCAAGCAGTCTAGGGGAAGGGCGCCAAGGCTGGGAGGAAACTGGCATAATGTTTTAGAAGGGCGAGGCTGGATAATTCGGTTAGAATGGAAGTGCGAGGCAGGAGAGACGGGCGGATGAGAAAGATAAATCGGGCCCCTATTAATTTTGTGTTCTTTCAACAGGTGATGGAACGCAGCTGAGAGGTAAGGCGACAAGGTGGTCTATCCAACGTGCTAAACCCAGGTGTCCGGAGCCCTTCCTGCTGCCCTCAGGCAGCCGAAATTATTGGGGGCAGACTCGAGCTGTAGAGCATGGCTGGAGGACACGCCAGATTTAGGGGGAGAGCCAGGGGTCCGGGTTCTCCAGAAGCGGGGAGGAGCCAACGGAGGATCTGGGCGCAGTTTCCTCTCTAAGTTCCGCCCCGAGAGCGCCGGTCCCGCCCCCGACCCCGCCCCCGACCCCGCCGTTCGCGCTCCGACCAGCCCGCGGAGGCAGCCCTCGACCCCGGCCCACCCGGGACCCCGGGTTCCGCTGGCAATCTCGCCACCAGCGCCTCGGTGAGTATGGGCGTGGGTGTGCTGGGCCGCCGGGTAGCCCCACTCGGGGGAGCTTGGCCGCACGGTCCGGCCTCTGCAGGACTGGGCCCCATGCTCTGGGAGTCCTGGTGCCTGCCCTCCTGTCTTACATACTGTTTCCCGGGTACTGCTGCTGTTTAGACTTGGCGGAGCTGGCCCCCTTCTCGCTCGCCAGCCTGGGGCCAGGTGTGCAGGGGTTTATCTTTCTCTTTATTCCGTGGAGCCTCCTGGTCAGGAGTCCTAGGTGGGGAAGATGGGACCCCAGGAGTGGGAACCCCATCGACTAGTTTTGAATGGCAGCTCTGCCATTTATTAGCCTTGGCCTTGAGTAAGTGTTTTGAACCTCCCCGAGCCTCAGTTTCCTCATCTGTAAAATGGAAATATACAGGCTGTAGCACCTACTTCATAGAATTACGGTGAGGATTAAAAGGGACAATGTATATATATATCAAGTACATAGCAGGGGGCCTAGTATTCCGTAGGCACTCAGTAAATGTGGGTTCAGACTCGAGGCTGAGAAGATCTCTAGGGACTTTGGAGCTTAGGTAGCTCCAAAGAAAGCAATTTTCAGCTAAGTAGTACCTGTGAGGAAAGTAGAGCTGTCTGCAGGCTGAACAGCTGCCCTTCAGCTCCACCCTGAGGTGTGGCGTAGAATGACCAAGTTGAAAGGACCTTAGAAGTAATCTGAACATGTGATTCTCATGTTGCAGAACTGTGGAAACAAATCCTGAGTGGTTAAATGGCTTGCCCAAGGTCACACAGCTAAATGGGAGGCCAGGCATACTTCCAAGCATTGGAACAGACTGTCCTTTGAACCTCCTCAACAACCCCTGATTTGGGCAGTGCCTCTTCATTCCCTGAAGATCTAGTCTTCAATTCGGGAATCCTAATGGTTCCTGAGGGATCTAGAGCTGTAGCCTTCAGGGCAGGATGTCGCGGGGGAACACTAGTGCTACTGCAACTGCAGAGTCTGGGTTTGGGCTGAGTGAGGAAGATGGTCCCCTTCTAGACCCTTAAGAGACTTAAGAGTCCATTTAGGGATGATCCAGGTAAGGTTTTTTTTTTTTTTCCTGGGAGGGTCACCAGCTCCCTGGGGAGATCCTTGATACCCCAAAAAGGGAGAGAGGAACTTGAGCAATTGGAGCAGGCTGCCTGATCAGGCCTGGCAGCTGGAAGGAAATGGGTGAGAATATAGAGGTGTAGCCACCTGGCATGTTCTGGAATGCCAGGATGCCAACCTAACTGAGAAAAGGGCTCTTTTTGAGGGTGGAAATAAAGGGGAGAGTCCTGTGGGAGGGGCCAGGAAGAGTTGGGACTTGATTTGACAAGGCCTTTGAGCCCAGAAGGGCATGTTCTTTATGTATCTGGAGCCAGCCCTAGCTTAGCGACAATAAGCCAACATTCCAGGGATGGCTTTCCCTCTGGCTCAGCATAGGGCTTTGAGGAAGAGCCTTTCTCTCACTGAGTGTCTTGATTTCTCTGTCTTTACAATGGGAATAAGGCTAATTGGCTTATCTATGTAGAATTTTGTTTTTCCATTTTTTTTACCTCCTGTGAACAGGTGCCTGTTCTGCTTCTCTCACTCCGGTCCTAACCTGACCTTTCTGTCTCGAACTCTGATCCAGAGAGGAAGGGGTCAAGGAAGGCCAGAGTTGCAGTGTGTAACTCTTCTGGGTCACATATGTATCTCTTTGCTCTGTGATCCTGAGCAGATTCCTGCCCCATCTTTCTCTTTTGTACACTGTGGGGATCTGGGCTAGGATTGCTGGTATACACTTAGTTATTATAGTTCCTGACCATAGCTACCCTTATCTAAGGGAGAAATCACAGTCCTCAGGAACCCTCATCTGTTCACAGTAGGGTGGCAGACAGCCCTCTGGGCACTGGGAAGCCTCCAGAAGCTGACCAAGCAGCTCTTTCCAGCAAACAGCAAGCCCAGGCTAGCACCAGACCTGATTCTGCAAAGCCTTTCACCCTCAGGGCACGTGAGGGAGCAGGCTGGGACAAGCAGGGAGCTCAGGGTTCTGTCAGCTTCCATGGAATCCCTGCTGCTGTGGACTGTGGTGTAGGCATCCAGAGCACACAGAGCCTGGGAAAGGACTGAAGGTGCAAGAGGGCCCTGGGCCAGTGGGGAAGCAATAAAAGCTGTAGAGAGGCCCTGCAGCCTGGAGGCTGGGCCTGAGACTCAAAGGCCTAGGGGAGGAGATGGGCCATTTCATCCACTGGTAGGTTTTAGGGTTGTTTTTGAGACAGAGTTTCACTCTTGTTGCCCAGTTGGAGTGCAATGGCATGATCTCAGCTCACTGCAACCTCTCCCTCCTGGGTTCAAGCGATTCTCCTGCCTCGGCCTCCCAAGTAGCTGAGATTACAGGCACCTGCCATCACACCTAGCTAATTTTTGTATTTTTAGTAGAGATGGGATTTCACCATGTTGGCCAGGCTGGTCACCAATTCCTGACCTCAGGTGATCCACCCACCTCAGCCTCCAGTGTGCTGGGATTACAGGAGTGAGCTACCATGTCGGCTTAGGGTTGGTTCTTGAAATAAGGAGAGACTAGTTAAAGCAGCTCCTGTAGTCCTAGGCCTGTCAAGCTAGGTTGAGAGGATTGAGGAGAAGCTCTCCCAATCCATTCAAGCTTCATCCTACCACAGATTTGGTTCATTGTCTTCCCTCTGAAATTGAGGTGGAATATTGTCTTGGGATTCTGAGTCAGTTTTCCTCATCCGGGGGCAGGAGCTATCCAAGTTTAGGTGACTTCCTCCTTAGACTCCCCACCCCATAGCATACAGCTGAGTTTAGGACTGAGCACAAGGGCTGACTTCATCGCTGAGTCCCAGCCTTGCTGCCTGGGGCCCTGACAGCATGCCACTCCATCCCCAGGTCTGACAAGATGTACCAGGTCCCACTGCCACTGGACCGGGATGGGACCCTGGTACGGCTCCGCTTCACCCTGGTGGCCCTGGTCACGGTCTGCTGTCCACTTGTCGCCTTCCTCTTCTGCATCCTCTGGTCCCTGCTCTTCCACTTCAAGGAGACAACGGCCACACACTGTGGGGTAGGGCATGGGGACACTGATACCTCATATTCAGGCCGATCTGGATCTTCTTTAGATCTTGAATCTCTTTTAACAAGATTAGCCAGCTCTCCATTGGGGCCCATCAAACATACAGGGCTGCTGGGGGGATACCTGCAAATTGATATCTTAAGGGTTAGTCTCCTTCCACCTTCTGGAGGCTGGAGTCACCGAAGTGGGCAGAACTAGAGCCAAATCGTTACTTTATAGAAGAGTAGATTCTGAAACCCCAGGGTTTTCTGGGAAGTGGAGAGAGAAAAGGATTGGGCTGCAGAGGATTTTGGGCGTCTTAACGTAGCACTGTACACTTGTGCCTGTCTCTGTGGGAATGTGATTCAGTATACTTGTGGGTGATTGTGAGGGGCATGGCAGTATATAATGGCTTTGAGTGGGGTATGTGTGTGAGAGAGACTATATCTGTGCCTGTCTGTATGGAGGTCTGATTGTGTACATGTGTACATGTCCTGGGGTGAGTCCCATGCCCTCTGAGGTTCCATATATATCTGTGTACCCTCTGGACAGGGATACGGGGTGTTGGGCCAGGAAGAAAGATGTAAGACTACTTTCTCTAGGATATCAGAGTAAATGGGGTGGGACATGTGTCAAACTCTGTAGTGCTCCTAATTCATTTACTGACTCTATATTACCCGAGACACAGAGACTCAGCCTCAGTTTCCTCATGTCTGACATAGAATTAATTAGCTGGGCATGGTGGTGTGCATCTGTAGTCCTAGCTCCTCAGGAGCCTGAGGTGGGAGGATCACTTGAGCCTAGAAGTCTGAGGCTGCAGTGAGCTATAGTCGTCCCACTGCACTCCAGCCTCATGACAGAGTGAGACCCGCATCTCTAAAAAATAAAACAAAATAGAGTTGATAATTCCTGTCCTGCTCCTTCCCAGGGTTAGTGTAGAGCTCTAGGTAGAGGAAGGATGGGAAGGTAGTTTAGGGAATATGAAGTGTGAGGAGCAGAAGGAGGAGGAGGAAGAGACTATCAGGTTGGAAGGCAGGAAATGATCTTAGCCTGGGTGCTCTTGGTGAAGAACAGGCAGATTCTGCACATGGACCCTTGGGCTCCCTCAGAGTTCTGAAGGCCCCTAGCCAGCTGAATCCCCCTTTCCTGTAAAGAGCATCTGCTTCAGAGAAATGGCTAGGACTAGCAGTGGGGTCTAGCTGTGATATGGGGTGGAGCCCCACTTTTTTTTTGAGAAGGAGTCACACTCTGTCGCCCAGGTTGGAGTGCGGTGGTGGCATGATCTCGGCTTACTGCAACCTCTGCCTCCTGGGTTCAAGCAATTCTCCTGCCTCAGCCTCCTGAGTACCTGAGATTATAGGCGTGCACCACCACACTTGCCTAATTTTTGTACTTTTAGTAGAGACGGGGTTTCACCATATTAGGTGGGTCTGAAACTCCTGAACTCGTGATCTGCCTGCCTCAGCCTCCCAAAGTGTTGGGATTACAGGCGTGAGCCACAGAGCCTGGCCCAAGGGTGGAACCCCACTTCTTTTCTTCATGTGACTTGAAGTTTCTCCTCCCCCTCATTTGTCAGTGGGTAGACAAGGGCGTTGAGGTATGGACAACCAATCTGATGAGACCCAGGACTGGGAGCTCTCAGAAATAACAAAACCGGAAGAAAGGGGTGACTGGGTGATCTGAGGGGGGGATTACCCTTTCCTGACCTAATGTTTATCTCAGATAATGCATCAGATGTACCTGTTACCCTAGCCACTCCTGATCACCATGCAAAACCCTGCCCATCTAGTTCCAAAACATCTTGCTATACTCTCTGGGGCTAACTTAATCACTCCCTCCTCTGGGTGCTCACGATTCCCTGTGTTATCTCTCTGTCACATCATATTTGTGTCTGTCTTTCCCACCAGATGAGGATCTCCTTGAGGAGACACTGTATTTGAATGAGAAAGTATATGGGTTTTTTTGTTTGTATTAGAGGCATGGTCTCATTCTATTGCCCAGGCCACAGTACAGTGGTGTAATAGTAGCTCACTGTAGTCTCAAACTCCTGGGATCAATCAGTCTTCCTAACCGCAGCCTCCTGAGTAACTAGGACTGCAGGTGTGTGCCACCACACCCAGCTTGTACTCCTAACCTTGTGATCCACCCGCCTCGGCCTCCCAAAGTGCTGGGATTACAGGCATGAGCCACCGTGCCTGGCCAACACACCCAGCTTAATTAAAAAATTTTTGTGTGTGTGGAAACGGGGTCTCATCATGTTGCCTAGGCTGGAGTACAGTGGCATGATCATAGCTCACTGCAGCTTCAACCACCAGGGCACAAGGGATCCTCCTTCCCCAGCCTCCTAAGTAGCTAGTATTATAGGTATGCACCACAATGCCCAGCTAATTTTTGTGTATATGTGTGGAGACAGGGTCTCACACTGTTGCCCAGGCTGGTCTTGAACTCCTGACCTCAAGTGATCCTCCCACCTCGGCCTCTCAAAGCACTGGGATTATAGGCGTGAGCCACTGTGCCTGGCCAGAAAGTGTTTGTTGAATAAATGATTAGGACTCCCTAGCCCAGTACCCTGGGGAAAGGAAGGCATGGTATAAGTCAATCATAGTCCAAGCAATATTATAATATTTGTATGGTATATGGAGTTAAGTTAAACAGACTAGGCTATTTGTTCTGCCCCTTGTGGCCGACACCGAGGGCTAATAGGGTCAATAACCTATTAGCTAGGTTGTTGCATACCTTGCATACCTATTATCTGTTCTTGGCATACCAGTTAGGGAATTAAGATACAGATAGTTGCTGGAGTACTTGGTCCCTCTGGAGCAGTACTAGGTCTGTGACCATGAGATAGGTTGTCCCCACTCCCTGGGACTACAGTGTTGGTTCCACCTGGCATGATCTTGGCTTACCGCAACCTCTGCCTCCCGGGTTCAAGCGATTCTCCTGCCTCAGCCTCCCAACTAGCTGGGATTATAGGCATGCGCCACCATGCCCTGCTAATTTTGTATTTTTATTAGAGACGGGGTTTCTCCATGTTGGTCAGACTGAACTCGAACTCCTGACCTCAGGTGATCTGCTCTCCTTGACCTCCCAAAGTGTTGGGATTACAGGCTTGAGCCACTTCGCCTGGCTCCACTTGGGAATTTTTATATTTGCTCTGAATTTCCCACTCAGAGTATCCCAGAAATGGCCAGCCCTAGGAATAAAAGAAGCAAGCTAATCCAACATCTCTATAATTGATTACTTTGCCTCTGCTCACATATTCCCAGTGATGGGGAGCTTCCTTCCTCCCCAGGTAGGCTCTTTTTTTTTTTTTTTTTTTTTTTTTTTAATTAAAAATGGGGTTTCACCATGTTGGTCAGGCTGGTCTTGAACTCCCAACCTCAGGTGATCCGCCCGCCTTGGCCTCCAAAGTGCTTGGATTATAGGCGTGAGCCACCATGCCCGGCCAGGTAGCCTCTTCTAAGGAAGCTTAATAACTAATAATTAGCAAGCTTTTTCCTTTCTTTCTGTTTTTGAGACAGAGTCTCGCTGTGTTGCCCAGGCTTGAGTGCAGTGGCATGATCTCGGCTCACTGTAACCTCTGCCTCCTGGGTTCAAGCAATTCTCCTGCCTCAGCCTCCGGAGTAGCTGGGATTACAGACACCAGACACCATACCTGGCTAATTTTTGTATTTTTAGTAGAGATGGGGTTTCACCACCTTGGCCAGGCTGGTCTCCAATTCCTGACCTCAGGTGATTTACCCACCTCGGCCTCCCAAAGTGCTGGGATTAAAGGCATGAGGCACTGTACCCAGCCTCTTTTATTTTTCTTCTTCCAAATAGAGATTGGGTCTCCCTATGTTTCCCAGGCTGGTCTTGAACTCCTGAGCTAAAGTGATCCTCCTGTTCAGCCTGTCAGAATGCTAGGATTACAGGCTTGAGCCACTGTGCCTAGCCCAAGCTTTTTCTTTCTTTCTTTTTTTGTGAGACAGGGTCTTGCTCTGTCACCCAGGCTGGAGTGCAGTGGCACGATCTTGGCTCACTGCAACCTCTGCCTCCTGGGTTCAAGCCATTCTCATACCTCGGTTTCCTGAGTAGCTGAGATTACAGGCATGCGTCACCATGCCCAGCTCATTTTTTAGTAGAGATGGAGTTTCACTATGTTGGCCAGGCTGAAGCTTTTTCTTTTTCTTTTTTTTTTTGAGATGGAATCTTGCTCTGTTGCCCAAGCTAGAGTGCAGTTGTGCAATCTCGGCTCACTGCAACTTCCGTCTCCTGGGTTCAAGTGATTCTCCTGCCTTGGCCTCCCAAGGAACTGGGGTTACAGGTTCCTGCCACTGCACTCGGCTAATTTTTGTATTTTTAGTAGAGACGGGCTCTTGGCCAGGCTGATCTTGTGATCCACCCACCTCGTCCTCCCAAAGTGTTGAATTATAGGTGTGAGCCACTGCACTGGGCCTGAAGCTTTTTCTTTTTTCTTCTTTTTTTTTTTGAGATGGAGTTTCACTCTTGTTACCCAGACTGGGGTGCAATGGCATGATCTCGGTTCACTGCAACCTCCGCCTCCTGGGTTCAAGCAATTCTCCTGCCTCAGCCTCCTGAGTAGTTGGGACTACAGGCGGGCACCACCGTGCCCAGCTAATTTTTGTATTTTTAGTAGAGACGGGGTTTCACCATGTTGACCAGGACAGGATGGTCTCGATCTCTTGACCTCATGATCCACACCCCTTGGCCTCCCAAAGTGCTGGGATTATTGGCACGAGCCACTGCGGCTGGCCTCTTTTTATTCTTTTTGAGACAGAGTCTCACTCTTTCACCAGGTGCTAGGCTGGAGTGCAGTGGCACAATCTCGGCTCACTGCAACCTCTGCCTCCCAGCTTCAAACAGTTCTGCGTCGGCCTCCCAAGTAGCTGGGACTACAGGTGCGCGCCATTACGCCCAGTTAATTTTTGTATTTTAGTAAAGACAGAGTTTCACTATGTCGGCCAGGATGGTCTCGATCTCTTGACCTTGTGATCCACCCACCTCAGCCTCCCAAAGTGCTGGGATTACAGGCGTGAGCCACCGCGCCTGACCGAAGCTTTTTCTTATAGTGAGTGTGTACTTACTTTCCAGTGAATCTCTGCCTTGATAACCATAGAACTCTTCTCTTCTTGTGGCTTCAGGTCAGCCCTATAGAAATAAGGAGACAGTAACGAGGGCCTTTTGGTCTATCTTCTTAGGTAGTATAGCTCCAGTTTTTTCAGGCAACCTTCCCAGTGCATGGTCTCCTGGCTTTTCCCTACCCTGAATGTGCCCTTGAACTTGGCCGCATTGTTCACTATTCTCTGCTGGGCCTTGATTTGGGTATAGGACTCCAGGTGGTCTGGGCACTGCAGGCAAAAGCAGGACTATTCATTCCTATCCTGGCTGTTAGACCTCTGTTGATGCAGCTGGAGCTGCCATTAGTTGTTTCTGTACAGGTACAGGCTGAACACTGATATCTCATATTCAGGCTTGTCTAGGTCACTTTTGGATCCTGATTCTGTCATCATAGGATTTCATAGGATTTAGCCATTTCTCCAGTGAGGCCCAACAAGTCTTTTCAGTCCTGCTCTAACAAAAAAGGGCCAGATCCTTTTCTGCTTTCTCTCTTTCCCTTTCTAGAAACCTGCCTATATCCCTGGACACAACTCTTAAAAAGGTCCCTGCCCCCATCACTACCAAAGAAGCTATTGCCAGCTGACCTCAACCGTTATCACTTCTTACCTTTGCAGAGTGTTCTAGGATTTATGACATATGCTTATTGATCCTGGGAAGGATGTGTGCCTGGGCAGGCATGGAGAACTGGGTACTGTGGGCGGGAAGGCAGGCCCTGAGGAGCAGGGGGTGGGACCCTCCAGTCTTAGAACAGTCCCAGTCTGGCTGCAGCCTTCGACCCAAACCCCGGATTCTTCAGCACCAAGTGTGAGTGTTGCTTAGTGAGGCCCTCACCCCCAACCCCATTCCTGAGTCTCCTTAGTGGAGGGAAGCATGAGTCCCGAGGGGAGATTGGGTCTTAGGTCTTTTAATATTAAGCCATATCTGTCTGCCCCAGCTTGATCCAGAGGGAAGCCCAGCTTGAAGGGTCATGGTGGTCAGGCAGTGGGGGTTGTTGCGGGGAGTTGTCTGCCAGGAGGAGAAGGGAGTGGAAGAAGCTCAGTTTCCCATGTCTGGGTCTGACCTGGACAGAGGCCTCCTGGGTCTGGCCCAGGACAGCAGGCTCAAGCTCAGTGGAGAAGGTTTCCGTGACCCTCAGATTCCCCCAAACCTTGGATTGGGTGATATTGGTCTCCTCAGAGAGAGAACAGATGGAGGTCTGAGCCTCTACAGGGACCCTGGTACTGTGGGTCCCTGTTGAGGATCAGGGTACTGTTGACCTGAGGCTTGGATCATTCAGAGCCTGGGGGCAGGATGGCTGGCAGCCTGTGGCCCATTAAAATAGGTTCTGGGCACTCCCTCTGTTCCTAGTTGAACTTGGGTAAGGAGCAGGAATGTGGTCAGACAGGGTCAGTGGGAGGGCTTTGGTCATACTGAGCCAACAGTCCTTTGTTAGTTGGCCTGAAAGAAGCCTTAACTTAGAACCTGAAGCTGTCAGGTGGCAAGAGGCCTTAGTCCTGGTGTTTGATCCTGGCATAGTTCTGGGCTTCAGTCTCCCCTTCTGTGGAATGGAAATAATAACCTTTCTACCTCTGACCCTTCTTCTGAGTGGCTGTGAGAGTTGTGGGCTCTAACAAAAAGAGCTCCCTGTGCAAGCCACCGGAAGCCTCTCTTCTGTAGACTTTTCAAGAGATGGACCTGGAGTAACAGTGTGCCATGAGGATTCCTAAGTGCTGACCCTACCTGTCTCTGCTGCTCCTGCCCCATCTCCCTCTGATTCTTCTCCTCTGCACTGTCTTCCTTTTTCCCTTACACCTTTTCTACCCTTTCTGCTCTGGCTCTTCCTTATACTCTGAGGAGCCATCTCTGGAAAAGGCCCCACTTTCCCAGGCCCAGGTATCCCACCAGGCCCCAAGTTGTATCCCTCGTGCTGCTTAGATCACTCCCTACAGGATGTTCTCTGCGGCCTCCCAGCCCTTGGACCCTGATGGGACTGTGTTCCGGCTTCGCTTCACAACCATGGTCTGGTGGGTCATCACTTTTCCTGTGTTCGGCTTCTTCTTCTGCATCATCTGGTCCCTGATGTTCCACTTTGAGTACACGGTGGCCACTGACTGTGGGGTGAGTGCCAGCTCCCCAGCCCCTGGGTCAGGGCCAGGTCAGGAGGTGGCAGTTAGGGTAGAATTAGAGAGTGGAGAGGAAGTGGAGGGTCAGAGAGGGGTAAAGGGACAAAGGGATGGGGGGAAGGGTCGGTAAGTCAGAGCTGGGGAGACTCAGAGAGAGTAGAATCATAGTCCTCCCCTAGTTAGAAGATGATGATAGAAATGCAAGGGATAGGCTGGGCAGGGTGGCTCACGCCTGTAATCCCAGCACCTTGGGAGGGCAAAGCCAGCGGATCACCTGCGCTCAGTTCGACACCAGCCTGGGCAACATGGTGAAACCTGTCTCTACACAAAATGCAAACAAATTAGCTGGGTGCAGTGGCACGCCCCTGTATTCCCAGCTACTTGGGATGCTAAGGCAGGAGAATTGCTTGAGCCTGGGATGTGGACATTTCAGTGAGCTGAGATCACGCCATTGTACTCCAGCCTTGGTGACAGGAGTAAAACCCTGTTTTACAGCTGGGTACAATGGCTCATGCCTGTAATCCCAGCACTTTGGGAGGCCGAGGCAGCTGGATCACCTGAGGTCAGGAGTTTGAGACCAGCCTGGCCAACATGGTGAAACCCCGTCTCTACTAAAAAATACAAAAAAATTAGCCAGGCATGGTAGTATGTGTCTGTAATCCCAGCTACTCAGGACGCAGAGACAAGAGAATTGCTTGAACCTGGGAGAGGGAGGTTGGAGTGAGCTGAGATCACATCAAAAAAAAAAAAAAAAAAACAGAAACAAACCAACAACAGTGCAAGGGAGTAGGGGGCTAGAAGGAGGTGATGATGGAAAGGAAGGGATTGGAATGGGCAGGAGAGATCATAAGAGGAAGGAGGCAGATTGAAAAGGAAGCCAGGACTGAGGAGGTAAAATAAAGCCTGAATATAGGAGATGTAACAGGTGTCTTTGGCCCAGACTCAGGGACTGACCTTTGAGGATCCTTTCTCAGCTCTGAACTGGATCTTCAAGCTTTGTTTTTCCTACTGGCAGCCCCAGGCCCCACAACCTGTGTCCACTCAGGGATCTGCCAGCCAGAAACCTGGATCAGTCCACTAGACCTTTCCTGAGGGCCCAGGGGTAAAGATTCTGTGCTAGGGGCATGGAATTAGATATGGACTTGCCCTTAATATCTCATTGCTACAAGAATCAGTCCTTAGACACAGACTATCACAACATAGTGATCTGGGATTCCTATTGTGAAAAAAAGAGTACAGTGACTGTGGGGCTCAGAGGAGGCACTTAACCCCAGCTTGGACATTGGGGATCACTTTCTTCCTGGAGGAGGGGACATTGTTTTCCTGGGGTAAAGAAGTCTCTTTGTGAATGCCAGGCTGACAACTTTTGATTTTATCCAGAGGGCAATTTTTTTTTTGAGATGGAATTTCGCTGTTGTTACCCAGACCGGAGTGCAATGGCACGATCTTGGCTCACCACAACCTCCGCCTTCTGGGTTCAAGCAATTCTCCTTCCTCAGCCTCCCGAGTAGTTGATACTACAGACACGCACCACCATGCCCAGCTAATTTTTGTATTTTTAGTAGAGACGGGTTTCACCTTGTTGACCATGATGGTCTCGATCTCTTGACCTCGTGATCCGCCCGCCTCGGCCTCACAAAGTGCTGGGATTACAGGCTTGAGCCACTGTGCCCGGCCCAGAGGGCAATTTTTATCAAGAGCTTTGGAAAGATTTTAGGCAGGAAAGGGACATGATCACATTTGTGCTTTATGTATGTATGTATTTATTTAGACAGGATTTCACCCTGTTGCCCAGGCTGGAGTACAGTGGTGTGATCTTGGCTCACTGCAGCCTTGACCTCTTAAGCTCAGGTGATTCCTCACCTCAGCCTCAGCCTCCGTTAGCTGGGACTACAGGTGCATGCCACCACACCTGGCTAATTTTTGTGATTTTTGTAGAGATGGGGTTTTGCTATGTTGCGTCAGCTGGAGATTTGTGCTTTAGAAGACCATTCTGACTTCAGAGTAGAGAACAGCTTTAAGGGCAGGGGCAAGAGTAGGGTATAAGGAGGCTAGTGCAGTACCTCATGCTACTAGGGGAACCAGAGCTAAGATGTAGACTGACTGTGAGGATAGAGAGGAGGGATGGAGTCTAGAAAGGTGTAGAAAGTGGGATTGACAGCAATTGGAGTTTTTATGCAGTTGGTAAAAGGTGGGAGACAGTAGGGTAGCTAGAGAAGGCATCTATAATGTGGGGGGACTTTACCTGAGGCCAAAGGAATGAATATCCTGTGAGGCTCTGTGAAAGGTGATGTTGGGGAACCCTATCTTTATACCACATGAGCTTCTTATCTGCTGTTCCCTCAGAAAGTGCTTGTCTCCCCATCTCTCAGTACTCTTAACTCTGGGCTCATAGGGAGGTTTGAGGTAAACTGTGTACCTGGTTTCTCATACCTCCTGATGTTGCTTATCGCTGGTTTAGTAGGTAAGTAGGGAACTTGTGTGCTGGGGCTGGGAGGAGGAGTACATGTACCTGATTATGTGTATGTGTCTGTGTGCTTGTGTGTGTATGTGATGGAAGAGACAGTCCTTGCTCTTAGAATCCCATCCTCATCCCTAATCTGAGAGAAGCTCATGAAGACAGGACCAGCAGCCACAATGCCCTAACTCTTCCTCCTGAGGCCTTCCACAAACTCCGTATCATTTTTCCCCAGCACCCATTCCCAACAGTGGTCGGGATCCAGGGCCCTTGAATCCTTTCGGCTTTCCCAGTCAAGCTTTAGTTGCTGGTCCTGTTTTCCTTAGAGTAGTGGAGATTGGGGAGTTTTCAGCATGAATATTCCAGGAAGCAGAGGCAACACTCACACTAATCCAACTCAGAGTAACAGCAAGACAGAAAAATCAAGTAAGGAGAATTGGAGGTCTCAAAAGTGTCTGATGAAGATATGGTTCCTGCCTTTCACCCATAAGCAGATCTTCCCATGCTCACAGCCTTTTTGCATTCTTTACAGAGAATTTTGTTTTCTGAAAGCCTGGTAGCCAGGCACATTGTGCCTACTTATTGTACCTACTGCATGCCAGAGCAGATGTTTTACACACTTTATATTTGTAATTCATGTGGCTGGGCATGTTGGCTCACGCCTGTAATCTCAGCACTTTGGGAGGCCGAGACAGGTGGATCACTTGAGGTCAGGAGTTCAAGACCAGCCTGGCCAACATGGTGGAACCCTGTCTTTACTAAAAATACAAAAATTAGCTGGGTGTAGTGGGTTGCACCTCTAGTCCCAACTACTTGGAAGACTGAGGCACGAAAATTGCTTGAACCTGAGAAGCAGAGGTTGCAGTGAGCCGAGATTACGCCACTGCACTCCAGCCTGGGTGACAAAGCAAGATCCTGTCTCAAATAAATAAATAAATCAATAAACAAACAAACAAACACCCTGCAAGGTAGGTGGTGTTATACCCATTTTACCAATGAGGAAATTGGAGCTCAGAGTGGTGAAGTGACATGCTCGAGGTCACCCAGCTAATAAAGACAGAACTGGGATGCAGACCCAGTAGTTCATGAGCTTCCATGCTGCCCCTTCACATTACTCAGAGTGAAATACCTGGGCCTGGTCTCAAGCTATGACATCTCAAGCTATGGCTTTGAGAGCAGCATCTTCTCTCCCAGAGCTCTGCATTTAGCTTCCCCTGATAGCACAGGGGGAATCCATCTTCTTTTTTGTGGAGGCTATGAAGCCCCCTGGCTAGTCTTGCCCCAGGCCTACCTGTGGGCTGCCCTGTGAGCTGCCTGCAGCATTGCTCACCTTCTTAGGAGTCTAGCATCTCTACTCAAAGAAAGGAATGATGGTCCTTCAGAACTCCACTTCCAAAGACTGTCCCTCCGTAGTTAGAGCAAGGTCATTCCCTTGCCAGGTTGCTAGGCTCTGGCACTGCACTGGCCCTCGTTGGAGGTCTGCAAACGTGCACAAAAAGTGTGGGCAATGGACTGGCCATTTCCACAGTTTTGGAATTTTAAAAATGCATACTGTGGTCTGGTGCATGCCTGTAATCCTAGCACTTTGAGAGGTCAAGGTTGGGAAATTGTTTGAGTCCAGGAGTTCTAGATCAGCCCGGGCAACATAGTGAAACCCTATCACTACTTAAAAAAAAAAAAAAAAAATACAAAAAATTAGCCAGGCATGGTGATGGTTACTCAGGGTGCTGAGGTGGAAGAATCACTTGAGCCCAGGTAGTAGAGGCTGCAAGTGAGCTGAGATCGTGCTACCGTACTTCAACCTCCACCTCCCAGGTCCCTGTTCAAGCAACCGAAGTGAGACCCTGTCTCAAAAAAAAAAAATGCAGATTCTAGCCAGGTGAGATGGCTCACACCTGTAGTCCAGCATTTGGGAGGCCAAGGCAGATGGATAGTTTAAACCCAGGAGTTCAAGTCCAACCTAGGACATATGACAAAACCCTGTCTCTACAAAAAATATATAAATTAGCCTGGTACTCAGGAGGCTGAGGTGGGAGGATCACCTGAGCCCAGGAGGTCAAGGCTGCAGTGAGTCATGATCACACTATTGCACCCCGGCCTGGATGGCAGAGTGAGACCCTGTCTCAAAAAGGCGGAAAAGAACCTGAAAAAAAAAAAAACCTAAAAATGCACATCCTTAGGTCCTAAGCCTTCTGTATTTTCTTTTTCTTTTTTTTTTTTAAAAAAAACTGGGGTTTCACCACGTTGGTCAGGCTGGTCTTGAACTCCTGACCTCAGGTGATCTGCCTGCCTTGGCCTCCAAAGTGCTTGGATTACAGGCGTGAGCCACCATGCCCGGCCTGCCTTCTGTATTTTCAAACAACCCCCTAGTGAGTTGTATGTGTAATTAAAGTTTATAAAGCACTGCTCTAGGCCCTGGAGTCTTAAGAGCCTTTTCTCATCTCTAGTTTTCCTGTCCCTATCTAAACCATTGAGTCATCCCCCATCCTTTCACCTCTCATGCAAGCAAAACACCAGTCCTTGCAGTTGTGTATTATCTCCTCCTTTTTCCTCGGCATTTTTTTTTTTTTTTTTTGAGATGGAATCGCTCTGTTGCCCAGACTGGAGTGCAGTGGCATAATCTTGACTCACTGCCGCGTGCCTGTAATCCTAGCTACTTAGGAGGCTGAGGCAGGAGAATTGCTTGAACCCAGGAGGCAGAGGTTGCGGTGAGCCGAGATCGCGCCATTGCACTCCAGCCTGGGTAACAAGAGTGAAACTTCGTCTCAAAAAAAAAAAAAAAAATGCCGGGCGCAGTGGCTCAAGCCTGTAATCCCAGCACTTTGGGAGTCCGAGGCGGGTGGATCCTGAGGTCAAGAGATCGAGACCATCCTGGTCAACATGGTGAAACCGTCTCTACTAAAAATACAAAAAAATTAACTGGGCATGGTGGCACATGCCTGTAATCCCAGCTACTCGGAGGCTGAAGCAGGAGAATTGCCTGAACCCAGGAGGCAGAGGTTGCGGTGAGCTGAGATCATGCCATTGCACTCCAGCCTGGGTAACAAGAGCGAAACTCCGTCTCAAAAAAAAAAAAAAAAAAAAAAATCTTGGCTCACTGCAACCTCCGCCTCCCAGGTCCCTGTTCAAGCAATTCTGCTGCCTCAGCCTCCCGAGTAGCTGGGACTACAGGCACATGCCACTATACCCAACTAATTTTTGTATTTTTAGTAAAGACGGGTTTTCACCATTTTGGCAAGGATGGTCTCGATCTCTTGACCTCGTGATCCACCCACCTAGGCCTCCCAAAGTGCTGGGATTACAGGCATGAGCCACTGCACCCACCCTCTTTTTTCTTCAGCTTTAAGGAACGAGGCTTCAGTAGGACTTCCAGGCATTGAGAAAGATGGATGGTGGAGATGCACAAGAATATGATCATCTCCTTAGACTACACCAGGTTAGGAGCACCCACTTTCTTTTTTCATTCTTTTTTTTCTTTTTTGAGATGGAGTCTCACTCTGTTAGCTCTGTTGCCAAGGCTAGAGTACAGTAGTGTGATCTCGGCTTACTGGAACCTCCACCTCCCAGGTTCAAGCGATTCTCTTGCCTTAGCCTCCTGAATAGCTGGGATGACAGGTGCTGACCACCACGCCTGGCTATTTTTTTTTGTAGTAGAGACCGGGTTTCACCATGTTGGCCAGGCTGGTCTTGAACTCCTGACCTCAGGTGATCCACCCACCTTGGCCTCCCAAAGTCTTGGGATTACAAGTGTGAGCCATCGTGCCTGGCACACCCACTTTCTTAAATCATGATCAGAGTAGGGTTGCCTTTCTACCACCTTGGTACACCTGCATAGAGGAATGAGTGGCGCTGGGAGCAGACTGAGGAACATCTCAGCTGAGCAATGAATCCAGCACTGTTCTAAGGAAGCTCAGATGTTCTGTGACTCATTTCTGTCCTCTGGACTAAATCTGAGGTCTTGGAACTCACCCAGGGCCTTATCGGCGGCACAGCTCTGAGCTAAGGGTATAGGGAGCATCTGAAACCATCTACACACTGACCAAACACAGGCAGGGTCCAGTCTGTGGGAGAGAAGGAGAAGTTCCCACCATGCCCCTGCACAAATCCCAGGCTAGCTGGGGAATGAGAATCAAGCACATTGGGCCCAGGACCTGGACAGAGAGGTCTCTTGGGAGAGGTGTGGGGACACCTGAAGGACTTCCTGGAAGGGGAGGGGCTGGAGCAGAGCCTTCTGAGGCCAGAGTGATCTTGTAGATGGAGAGAAGGTTCTCCACGTGGCAGGGGCTGGCAGAGGCAGATGCCCAGACAGGTCATAACTCTCTAGGTGCCCAATTACCTGCCCTCGGTGAGCTCGGCCATCGGCGGGGAGGTGCCCCAGCGCTACGTGTGGCGTTTCTGCATCGGCCTGCACTCGGCGCCTCGCTTCTTGGTGGCCTTCGCCTACTGGAACCACTACCTCAGCTGTGCCTCCCCGTGTTCCTGCTACCGCCCGCTCTGCCGCATCAACTTCGGCCTCAATGTCGTAGAGAACCTCGCGTTGCTAGTGCTCACTTACGTCTCCTCCTCTGAGGACTTCAGTGGGTGCCAGGATGAGGGAGGAGTGGGGAAGGGTTCCCTGAGGGGACGGGCCTGCCCCTACCACATTTGGACCTTCCTACTTAGTGGTGTGGGCACTCCCTGCAATAGGGACCTTCCTACTTAGAGGGGTGGGCACTCCCTGCAATGCGGCTCCCAATCCTTTTTCCCTCCAGCCATCCACGAAAATGCTTTCATTGTGTTCATCGCCTCATCCCTCGGGCACATGCTCCTCACCTGCATTCTCTGGCGGCTGACCAAGAAGCACACAGTAAGTCAGGAGGTACGGTCTATCCCTAGCGGGGGATCCAGGCAGCCCGGAAGAAAATCAAGGACATCTGTCCTCAGAATCTGGGTAATGGTGAGGTGGGAACTGAGTTCTAATGGGAACCTTGGCAAAGGGGTGTTGGGGTTTGGGCTGGGGCTTGGGGACAAACCGATGGTGGTTGGTCAGAATCTAGGACTGTAGCGCTGTGTTTGGGTAGTGTGGGAGACTGGAGAATAGAAGATATGAAGGTTGCAAATGGGGGTATGAGGAGTTGCATCAAGGCGGCAGTGAGTTAGGAACAGTGTCTGGGGACTGTGGTCTGTCATAATTCCAGCGCCCCGCCCATGTCCATGTGTTTCTTTTCCCCCACAGTATTTGGAGGTTGGGTTGGTGGGTGACTCCATGTAACTTTCATACTTCATCCCCCTGAAGTGGGAGGGGCAAGAGTACCACTGCTTCCTAGCCCTTCACTCCCCCAGAGGCAGGATCGTGAACTTGTTCGTCATTCTGGCTGCCCCTGCCTGTACTCCCTTCCATGACCGCTAGTGGGAGCCAAGGGAGATAAGGCACAGCCCTTAGGAGCCAGGGCTGGGAGGGGAGCCTACACCCTCATACCCAGCAAACTGCAGAGTGCAGAGTGATCTAACAGCCCATTCCCTAGGATCGCAAGTCCTACAGCTGGAAACAGCGGCTCTTCATCATCAACTTCGTCTCTTTCTTCTCGGCGCTGGCTGTCTACCTTCGGCACAACATGTATTGTGAGGCTGGAGGTGAGGCCAAGACAGAATCCATAAGTGGCTATGGGGCAGCAGTGATGTTTTTGATAATGGGCAATGGTCTTAGGGACTGGCTGCCATTGTGTTGCCAGTGGCAGACTAATGGTGGTGTGATTTATCAAGAGGCCCCTGAGGGGGTAGCAGGAGGTTCACCATGCCCTGTTCCTTGTGTCCTCACAACAGTGTACACCATCTTTGCCATCCTGGAGTACACTGTTGTCCTAACCAACATGGCGTTCCACATGACGGCCTGGTGGGACTTCGGGAATAAGGAGCTGCTCATAACCTCTCAGCCTGAGGAAAAGCGATTCTGAACCCTTCAGTCCTGCTTGGGAGGCAGCCCACTGCCCAGAAACAAGAAACAAGATACCATTCTGGCCTTCCCTACCCTACATCCTCTCTTGGCCTTACTGAAGATGGGGGAAGGGTAAGAAGGGCATAGGCCAAGGCTCACCCCAGTGCTGCTGGCATCTCTCCACCCCTCATATGGGCATAGGGGTCCTCAAACAACATCACCTTTACTTGAGAGGCCCCAAGAAGCTGAGCTGAGCTGGCAGAGAGCTCCAACATTTGGTGCTAAAAAAATGTCCTGTGGTTCATGACCACCATCCAGTTTCTGGCCTTTACTAGCTACCTTTCACTAAGGTCAGGAGCCGCTGAGCAGTGGCTGCTCCGTGACAACCACAGCAATTTTTCTCCCTGGGGTCATTCACATGACTAATGTATTTCATGATCTTCTGTGCACATCCAGGCCTGTGGCCACAGTCCCCTGCTAAAACTGCTCAGGTGTTCCAGTCCTTCACCTTTTTGATTTGGTATGTGCCCTAGGGTATGTACCCTTCCCTATCTAAGCATCAGCATGTCCATGTGTCTGATGGGAGATGGGTGGGCTGTATGATTTCCAATACCAGTCTGTGGTTCTGATGTCATCGGGTGGAGGTGGTGGTGTGTACTTAAAGGATGACCTGCTACAGAAAAAGCACCAGCACAGCATGTATTTTCTTCTCTCTTCTGAAAGTTCTGGCTTACAGACCCCTTCCCTCCTTTGAAACGTATGGCATAGAGGAGTCAGATGCAGATCCCTACCCTAAAATGGGCTCCCTGGTATCTCCTGTTTTCCCTACTGCTCCAGACCCTAAGTTTTGGTTGTGCATTTTAAAGGAAAATAAATTTTTTATTTAATTTTATTTTTTTGGCCAACAGTTGCCTAGGCTTGCTAGTCTCGGGGCTCATCTTGTTTTGATAGTAACAGAGAGGAACAGGCTCAACGATGGAAAGTCCACAGCAGGGTATGATTCCTAGCAGCACCCCTTAGGTCTGGAGTCTCCTAAGGCTGGTCTAAGTGTCTGTTTTGATGTCCAGGAGTGACTGAGCTATCTGTAATGATTCCAGGACTGGAAGCTAGGATACCTGGAAGTCTTCAGTGAGGCAGAGACCTGAGTTCAAACCCCAACTCTTGTTAAAGCTCTGTCTTCTTGGGGATGTGAGATACAGGTCTCATGCATGACTGTAAGAGCATCTGCCTTTAGGCTAATGGCTCTCAACCTCTCATTTTCTGAGCCCTAAGATTAAGAAGTCTTTCCTCAAGTTTTATGTCCAAGGCCACTATAGCATCTGTGACTAGGCACCAGAGCAAGACTGCCCCTCTGGGAGTCTAGAGCTTTGTTAGGGAAATTGGGGGGTGAGGGGAGCCTAGAGCTTTGTTAGGGAAATTGGGGGGTGAGGGGAGCACAATGAAGCCTATTATCTACTAGAAGAAACAAAAGGCTCCCAGTCTCTGGGGAGCCCTAGCCCATGCCCACCCCCTAATGCCCAGCACACAGGGAGGAGCCAGGCCACTGGAGACAGGAGGTTTTATTGATGCTGATGGGGGTAGGAAAGGCCCCAGAAGCACGGGGGCTGAATCAGTCAGCGAATGCATAAGGCCTGGGCAGAGAGGAACAGGTTAGGGCACATTCACCTCAGGATTCTGTGGCTCCCTCCTTGGAGAAGGCAGAGAGCATCTTGGGGGTACAATTCCAAGAGCAGCGAGGGCAGAGGTTAGAGATGGCTGAGAGCCCCTAACCTGAGGAGGCACCACAATAGGCAGCAACAACTGTGTGGAAGCTGGATGAACTGGTCAGTAGCGGAAAACGGGAGAGGGGGCACTGGGTTGGCCTCTTGGGGAGGGCTCCAACCCTGGCTTGGTGAGCTCATGAGAATACCCGGTGTTCCCAAGCAGAGGGGTGCAGAGCCCAAAGCCCCTTTCTCTGCAGGCCTCTTTAAGGAGAGAAAGGGCACTCAGAGAAAAAGGCATTCAGTGAGCCCCCTGGAAAGGGGTGCCAGAATTAGTCCTTAAGGCACAGCTGGGGCAGACAAGGCGCCAAGGCACAACTGGTTGGGGGAGGGCAGGGGCAGCCTCCAAGCCGAGTGCCAGGGTCACAAGAGGACACAGGACCGCCCACGCTTGATTGGCGTGGGGTTGAGCACAGCCCGGACAGCCTCAGCAAATACTTCCTTGACACCATCCTGCTGCAGGGCCGAGCATTCGAGGTAGCGCACGGCGTGGATCTGCTTGGCCAGTGCCTGGCCCTGCTGCGGTGTGATGGGCGCCTGGCCCTGCTCCTTGAGGCGCCGTAGGGTGTCAGGCTGGGCTCTCAGGTCCTTCTTGGTGCCCACCAGCAGGATAGGCACATCAGGGCAGTGGTGGCACACCTCTGGATGCCACTTGTGCCGCACGTTCTCATAGGAGGGCGGACTGGCAATGGAGAAACAGATGACGAAGACATTGGTCTGAGGGTAGGAGAGTGTACGGAGGCGGTCATACTCTTCCTGGCCCGCAGTGTCCCACAGGTTCAGGTTCACTGTGCGCCCGTCAACTGCGCTCTGAGCACTATAATTGTCGAACACGGTGGGGATGTACTCTTTGGGGAAAGCATTAGTTGTGTAGCAGATGAGCAGGCATGTCTTGCCCACAGCCCCATCACCCACCACCACACACTTGATACTCTGCATCGTGGGTGCAGTTGCTGTAGTGGAGGCAGTGCCTCCTCTCTCTTCTGGACCCCTCTGGCTGCAGTGACCTGTAGACAGATGAAAGGAGACAGTCTTGGTTGGGGGGGGGCCTCTACTTATCGGGAAGAAAGGATGGGGCACACAAAGGGAAACCAGCTCCTGTTCCCTTAACCTGACACTATCCCAAAGTCCCATCAAGACAGTCATCAGAAAGATACACAATGAGCCGGGCATGGCGGCTCACACCTGTAATCCCAGCACTTTGGGACGCTGAGACAGGGCATGGGGATGGGGGGAAATCACCTGAGGTCAGGAGTTTGAGACCAGCCTGACTAATATGGAGAAACCCTGTCTCTACTACAAACACAAAATTAGCCAGGTGTGGTAGTACATGCCTGTAATCAGCTACTCGGGAGGCTGAGGTAGGAGAACTGCTTAAATCCAGAAAGCAGAGGTTGTGGTGAGCAGAGATGGCTCCATTATACTCCAGCCTGGGTAACGAGCAAAACTTTGTCTCACAAAAAAACCAACTAAGAAAACCCACAACGAAAGGCCCTGAGACCAAGCAAGATGCAGAATAATGTGGCAGAAAGCACATAAACTCTGGCGCCAGACAAACTAAGGTCAAATCCTGGTTTTGTGATTTCCTAGCTGTGTAACCCTCAACAAACTGCTTGATTCTCTATGCCTAAATTTTCTCACCAGTAAAATGGGGATAAAATAGTATCTACCCCATTGGGTCACTGTGAGGATTATATAATACATGTAAAGCATTTAAAACAGTGCCTCGTCCATAAGTATTAGCTATTCTTTTTCCAGGCTATACAGACACAAAAGGAGTGCACACAAATTTAGGGATCTTCTAGATCCTCTACTAAATATGGACCCTTCCCACCAGGAAACTGAAAAGGGATTCTGACACAGGACAGCTGTCCCAGGTCACTCTGTAATGCAGCCATGGGTAGAACCTCTCAACTCAGGGCCCACCCTGCCCTCTCCAAACCTGGTATCTTGGCTACTGAGTACAAACCAAAAGGCACAGTAAGAAACCTGCTGAGTAAGGGCTTAATTCTTTAGAGAGCTGCCCTATCCCAATCTAGGGTATTCTGGCAGTGGGAAAATCACCAGAAAAATTTTTTTATTTTATTTTGAGACAAGAGTCTCATTCTGTCTCCTAGGCTGGAGTGCAGTGGTACAGTCTCAGCTCACTGCAACCTCTGCCTCCCAGGATCAAGCGATTCTTCTGCCTCAGCCTCCCGAGTGGCTGGGACTACAGATGTGCCACTGCGTTCAACTAATCTTTACATTGTTAGTAGAGATAGAGTTTTGCCATGTTACCAGGCTGATCTCAAACTACTGACCTCAGGTTATCCACCTGCCTCCACCTCCCAAAGTGCTGGGATTACAGGAGTAAGCCACCATACCCGGACATCCCATCATTCTTTTTTATTCTTTTTTGAGATGGAGTTTTGCTTGTTTCGCAGGCTGGAGTGCAATGGTGCAATCTCGGCTCACTGCAACCTCCACCTCCCGGGTTTAAGTGATTCTCCTGCCTCAGCCTCCTGAGTAGCTGGGATTACATGAATGCACCACCACACCCCGTAAAGACATGATTATTTTTAGTAGAGACGGGGTTTCTCCGTGTTGGTCAGGCTGGTCACGCCATCATTCATATAAGTACTAAAAACCCTATCTGGCCACACACACTCAGGTTGCCAATTCAGTGCAGGGGAATACTGGAGATTCAGTTAGACCTGGGATTTAGACTAGGATCTGGGTATGTTATAATGAATGAGGTAGAGGCGGAGGCTCCCAGACATTAGTATCTTCTCTCAAGGTCCTTGGTGGGCTAGAGCAAATCTTTCAAGCCCAGCTAGGAGGGATGAAGTGAAGAATAAGACAAAAACTTGACTTTTTCCTCAATCTTCTGTCCATTTCCTGAAACCTGGCATGTGCCTCTGAAAGATTTTAGAAGCTTCTAGACTCTTGGATAGAAAATATCATCATTAAGAACATAGATGCGGCCAGGTGTGGTGGCTCACGCCTGTAAACCCAGCACTTTGGGAGGCCAAGGTGGGTGGATTAGGAGGTCAGGAGTTCGAGACCAGCTTAGCCAACATGGTGAAACCCCATCTCTACTAACAACACAAAAAATTAGATGGATGTGATGGCCACCTGTAATCCCAGCTACTTGGGAGAATTGCTTGAACCTGGGAGGTGGAGGTTGCAGTGAGCCGAGATCGCACCACTGCACTCCAGCCTGGGTGACAGAGTGAGGCTCTGTCTCAAAAAAAAAAAAAAAACAGATGCTAGAGTAAGACTGGCAGGGATTCGAATCACAGCTCCACCAACTAGTTATATGTGATCTTGGCAATATATTTAAGTTCCCTGAGCCTCAATTTTCTCATCTGTAATATGGGGATAATCTTGCCTATTGCATTAAAATTGCTCAGAATACAAAATAAGGCCAGGCACAGTGGCTCATACCTGTAATCGTAGCACTTTCAGAGAGTGAGGCAGGTGGATCACTTGAGTCCAGGAGTTTGAGACTAGCCTGGGCAACATGGCAAAACCCTGACTCTACAAAAAATGAAAAAATTACCAGGTCGTGGTGGTACATGCCTGTAGTCCCAGCTACTCTGGAGGCTGAGATGGGAGCATCATCTGATCCCAGGGAGGTGAAGGATGCAGTGGGCTATAATTGTACCATTGCACTCCAGCCTGTGCAACAGAGCAAGACACTGTCTCAAAAAACAAATAAGAGTTAATAATGTATAGAAGGTGTCCAGTTCACTTTGCATTTGATGTGGGGGGAAAAAAAAGGTGTCCAGCATGAGGTATTACACACAGGAAGTGCCCAATAAATGGACTGCTGTATTTATTAGTGGGGTAAGTATAAGGAGTCCCAGCTCCAGCCAACATCCTAGTCATCACTGTAGGTCATAGGGCCTTGGGGTGAGGAACTGCTTTTCTGAGTTCTGAAACAGAACAGAGCTTCCAGAAACCCTGTGATTATTTACACTGCTATGGCAAGGGTCCTCCTCTCATCAGCTACTTCCTCTTGGCCACAGGGGACTCTTTCTTACCAGGATGTGACTTCCATTCCCTGACTATCTCTCACAACCAGAGCCTGCCCCCCTAGAGGGGGCAGTTCTGTTTTAAACCAAATCTCTGAGTATCTCTTATCCCTGGCTCCACCCAAGCACCATTATCACTAGCCCATTTTCTCCATTTCACTTGCTATACTGCAAGGCTGCACCCTGGTCTGGGAATCCCTTACCTGAGTCTGAGCTCTGACCATTGGTTCAGAAGCCTCAAAAATCAATGATAAGTGGGGGAGAAAATCCCCACTGGGAAGTGGAAAAGAAACTTCTGTGGTGTGGGCCATGGCTCACACCTGTAATCCCAGCACTTTGGGAGGCAGAGCCAGGCGGATCACAAGGTCAGAAGTCTGAGACCAGCCTGGCCAACATAGTAAAACCCCGGCTCTACTAAAAATACAAAAAAATTAGCTGGGTGTGGTGGCGCGCGCCTGTAATCCTAGCTACTTAAGAGGCTGAGGCAGGAAAACTGTTTGAACCTGGGAGGCGGAGGTTGCAGTGAGCCAAGATCACGCCATTGCACTCCAGCCTGGGGTGACACTCCGTCTCAAAAAAAGAAAAAAAAAAAAGAAACTCGGGTGTAGGGGCTGCAAAGAACCCAGGACTTGGTCCAGCTCCCTTCCCTTGGAATCAGCTGGGAGAGAAATGGTTTCACTCTATGAAGCTGCATCTCTGGTTCACATTAAAAAATATTACTATCTTATTTGCATGAATAAGAGTGTGTGTGTATGTGTACACACGTACACATGTGCATGCAACCTCAGGACACTCGGATAGAGACCCTCAGAGAGTGGGTCAGGGAAGGGCATAAGGACCCTCTAGGCCAGTGGAGAGTCGAATGGAGATCTCAGAGTTGTGAGAGACCTAAATTCTAACCCCAGCTCTGCTGATTCAATACAACCAAGTGTGACGCATTTACGCAAGATGGGCCTGAGTTCTCCTATGCAGGAATGAGAGATTAAAATGCTTGTTATGAGGGCACTAGGTAGATGAACTAAGACTTAAAGCTTCTTGGAGCCAGGTGCCATTATTTGTTCCCAATGATAAAGGTCACGTGGGAAGCCCTGACATTCAGAGCAGAACTCCTGGGCCTGTAATCTTCAGTTCCACACAGAGCAGGGGAGTGGGTGTTGACAGTATGACCAAAAAGCCCAGCACAGGGCTGGCCCAGGCAGGAAGGCAAGGAGGGAACTCTGGCTGGCTGTCATAAAGCCCAAGAGACGAAGTACAGCTTCCTAAGGAGGTGGTTATCAACTAGCAATCAGTACATCAGCTCTCAAAGGAGAGGGGAGGGAAGCTACCCTCTTCCTTTGGGGTGGCTTCTGGGCTGGCAGGGGAACAGGGACTGACACTGGAAAAGGATTATGAGTATGGTAGTATACAGAAACAGTGTTATAGGGCCAAGAGTACTGGATACCTGACTCTGATGTCTTGAGTTTATCTGCTGACCTTGACCCTTAATAGAAAAGCCCTCATAAGGTATAAGCCTTTACAGATCACATGTTATGTCATTTGACCTTTATAACAAACAATCTTGTTAGTACTATTCCTATTTTACAGATGAGGAAACAAACTCAGAGCAGCTAAAGTAACTCAGCATTCACACAGCTAGTTAGTATGGGAGCCAGAACACAAACCCAGTTTTGTGACCCAAAGTCCTGTGTTTTCCTCGGTATATCACAATGTCTCCAAGGTACCCCCCCACCAGCTAACTGTGTGACCTTTATCAGGTAAGTTACTGCTCTTTCTGGAGCCTCCATTTCTTCATCCATACAGTAGAATTATTAATAGCAGCCCTCCCAGCCTCATAGGTAGCATCAAGGATCCTGACCATGGGAATGAAGACACTTTGTAAACTGAAGTGTTGTGCACACAGGTGGTGACGGGAGCAAAGCCTTTCATCCCAGAAGGCAGGAAGCACTGAGTTTGCCTGTGCTGTGATGGCATCAGCCCAGTTCTCCCTACTCAGGTCTAGTTCAGACCTTTATCCTCTCCCCCAAAACAACTCTCTGAAATCCTTTGGCCTGAAATGGGTTGAATAAGTTCCCATAGCCTATTTAAGGAGGGTATAGGTAGAGTCTAAACTGTGTCAAACAGGAAGAAGGGATGCCAGTGCTGCAGGAGGCCAAACCAGGAGTGTGACCTACCTGGAGCGGGGTTCAAGAATCATTAAGCCCAGCTCAGTGGTACGCCTGCAACCCCAGCTACTAGGGAGGCCAAGCCCAGGAATGTGGGATTGTAGTGTGCTACACTAGTCAAGGTTGTAGTCTCTGTGAATAGCCCCTGAGCAACACAGCAAGACCCCATGTCTCAAAAAAAAAAGTTATTTAGTAAATTAATGGCTGCAGATCTGTTTTGTTTTTTTCTCTTGGAGACAAGGTCTTGTTCTGTTGCCCAGGCTGGAATGCAGTGATGCCATCACAGCTCACTGGAGTCTCAACCTCCCAGGTGCAAGGCATCCCCCTACCTTAGTCTCCTGAGTAGCTGGGACTACAGGCATGCACCACCACACCTGGCTAATTTTCGTATTTTTAATTTATTTTTTGGTTTGTAGAGACTCTTGTCATGTGGCCCAGGCTGGTCTTGAACTCCTGGTCTCAAGTGATCCTCCCAACTAGGCTTCCCAAAGTGCTGGGATTACGGGCAGGGGCCATCATGCCTGGCCACATCTATATGTTATTAGACAAATTACAATGACTTACTCTGGATTTTTAGTCCCAATTCAAATCATGCTTGATCCCTCATCTCGGCATTCAGAGTTCTTCACAATTTGATAAGGGGTTTTAGAGTTCGTGTTTTTTTTTTTTTTTTTTGAGATGGAATCTTGATCTGTCGCCAGGCTGGAGTGCAGTGGCCTGATCTTGGCTCATTGCAATCTCTGCCTCCCGGGTTCAAGTGATTCTCCTGCCTCAGCCTCCCACGTAGCTGGGACTACATCACCATGCCCAGCTAATTTTTGTATTGTTAGTAGAAATGGGGTGGCAGTTTCACCAGGTTGGCCAGGATGGTCTCCATCTCTTGACCTCATGATCTGGCCGCCTCAGCATCCCAAAGTGCTGGGATTACAGGAATGAGCCACTGTGCCTGGCCAGGGGTATCAGAGTCATATAGATTTGGGTTTGAATCCTAGTTCTACCTATTGGCAGCTGTGTGACCCTGAGTTTATGATGATTTGCCTTTCTAAGTTTTAATTTCCTTGTCTTTCAAATGCGGCGGCAACATATGATGCCTACCACATAGCACTGTTACTACAAAGACTAAGTACATTAATGTATAATATGTGCACAATGTAGGTATTTTGCAAGTGTGAGTTCCCAGTTCCCTGTTACAAAGGGATTTTTTTCAATGTCCTCTGCAAACAAGTCAGGATCATTCTTGCCTCTGAACTTCTACTCTTGTTTTTCCCTCTGCTGCCATTCCCTCTCCCTTCTCCCAGGTTCAAGTGATTCTCCTGCCTCAGCCTCCCAAGTAGCTGGGATTACAGGTGTCACCATACCCAACTAATTTTTGTGTTTTTAGTAGAGACAGGGTTTCACCATGTTGGCCAGGCTGGTCTCAAACACCTGGCCTCAAGTGATCCACCTGCCTTGGCCTCCCAAAGTGCTGGGATTACAGGCATGAGCCTGTGGAATGGAAAGGATTCTCCTTTTCCAACAGCCATACGTAAGTTTCCCAGCTGTGGATGCCCCTTCAGTACTGAAGACTTGGCTTCTCTGGACTAAATAACAAAAAAACTCTTAAGTATAGGGCTAGGCACAAAGGACTGTACAACCATGGCCTTTTGGTCTGCTTGCACCAGCCCTCATTACTGAGATCTGGATAAACCTCTCTGAAGCCCAGTATCAGACACTCCCTGCCCACCCCCTCACAGACAATACTGCATTGCTGATATCTTATTGGATAGCAATGACAGGCTAAAACTAAGTCTGAATAGGCAAAAATCTCTCTTCCCAGTACCAGCTTGACTTGGTTCTGCCAGGGAGTATAGCCTATAGTACAGCTCATGAGGGGGGTCCCTGGAGCCCAACTTGCACCCAGTGGGGTCTGGTCTTGGGGTGTGGCCCACGCAGGCCCAGAACAGGGGAGGGAAAGGAAGCAGCCTGATTGCCAGATCTCTGTGGCAGTTACAGCAGGGGAAGTGTCCCAACTGTGAATGGGGGAGGTGAGAAATGGGCTCTTAAGAGATAGGCAAGGCCTAGCACAGTGGCTTACACCTGTAATCGCAGCACTTTGGGAGGACAAGGCAGACAGATCACAAAGTCAGGAGTTCAAGACTAGCCTGACCAACATGGTGAAACCCTATCTCTACTAAAAATACAAAAATTAGCTGGGCGTGATGGCATGCACACCTGTAATCCCGGCTACTCAGGAGGCTAGGCAGGAGAATCACTTGAACCTGGGAGGTGGAGGCTGCAGTGAACTGAGATTTCGCCATTGGACTCCAGCCTTGATAACAGAGCAAGACTCCACCTCAAACAAACAAACAAGGCAAGTGTGGAGGTGATGGGAACTTATATAACCTGCCTCCCTAACATGGAAGCAGCCTTCTATTACCTGCCTCCGTAACATGGGATTTCCTTTCTGTAGCCCTCCCCGAACCTCATTATAATCCATCTCTGGCCATTCCAATCCTGATCCTC